AGTCTATGATTGAACTTGACAAATATTGCCCTTAATATGAGAGAGCTCTTGACAAGTCTTGAGATATTTATGGGTACTGAATGTCTTTTTCTAGAGCCGTGGTATGATTTCATCAAATTAAGATACCCTTCAATATTATATTTTTCTTCACCATTTAGAATTACAGAGGAAAATAAGTCACAATTCTTTAGTCTCACAGTCAGCCTCAATGTAGAGTGAAAATTTATTACTGACGTCATCCCATGAAAGACAATGGCACTCTAATTGGAGTGTTTAACTGAAGCAATGATATTAAAAATAGAGAGGCTAAGCAAAGAAAGAGTCCCTTCAGTGTGATGAAGGGTCAAAAAGTCTTCAGAGAAGAAAAGGCAGTGATATGAAGTTTACCGGAGTTGTTCAGGGATCAAGGAGGAAACATCTTAAACTAGCTTATCCACCATGTAGTGCGTCAGGTTTCTGGTTTGTAATCAGATCTTCATCTCAAGTTCGATTGCACAGGGTTTACCAGCTGATGACAACAGCAGTAAAAACAAGAAATCAGTCTCCACTGCCTAACACAATGAGCTGCCTTGGAACAGCAGTTCGGTAAGCAAACAGGGTCTTTAGTTTCTTACTGAAGCACCATACCTCTTGGGAAGACATGGAGCATGTTGTCAGTAAGGTCTCCATTGTTGTGAAAGACATGAAATACACATATCAGCCTCACTTTATGGATTTGACAACTGCACTCCAGAAATTTGGGGGAGCAATCAAATCAGGCTAAGCCCTGAAAGTGGGAATGAGGAACCTAATTCAAAGCGGGATGTCAGTGACAATCTTACCAAGGGAGGAGGAAATTGCTTGACTATACAACAATAATTAAACCTGAATGGTCAATATTAGACATACGCAAATCCTAAATAGTATATTAAGATTTAAAAGTTTATAAAGCTATATAAAATAGAGAAATAATATTTTTTCTCTTTATTTTCTCTTAACAGGAGAATAAAATTTTTTTCAAGGCGTTTGATTTATTTTCCTAATGTTGAAATAAAATTTGACAGAATTATGCTCACCTTTAATAAGAATTACAAGAAAAGATTCTGGTGTTAAATATAGAGAGAGTACTGCATGGTATTGAAAAGGAGTTTTGTTAAGTACAGCAAATGTTACAAACATGGTAAAGCTTTTCAAAACTTTGTATTTTATATTTTTAGGGGATGTGGTTCAACTATCTGGGGAAAATCCTACAATTCTAATATATTTGAAAAGACTCTAATAAGATAGTAAAACATCAGAGTCATTTCATATATGCCCAGGAATTGCCTGAACAAGAACACTATGATCTAAAAGAGGATGCCTGCTTCTCTTCTTTGCCAAAATGCAAAGAAAGATGTATCCATAGTCTGCTCTGCCACCTCTGTGAAGGCAGAAATATCTTTCTTCTTTTCAGTCAATGTTTTACTGCTTTAGGAACGATTGTTCTTATAACATGGAGATAAGGTCTGTCTCTGAAATAACGAGCTATTTGGTTCCTGTGAAGATACACTTTAACACCTTATAATCTCATAATTTGCTTAGCCACATCTAGAAATATGACTTAGATTTTAAAAGCTATTTTTATGTTTTCATTTAGTACTCAAATACTCCTTCTACCAAATGACATTTTCATTTTCCATGGATCATAAAGTAAAGGCACTGCTTTTTAATGCTACTTCGGAATCAGTGCTGGTAGAGACTGGGTTGCGGTCTATTTCATCTAGGTTCTATTTTCTCTATGAGAACATCTGGGTCCATAGGTTTTCCTCTCTTAGTTTTTAAACAAGGTCCTCAGTGTACACAAAAGCGACCTTCCTGAGGGGACAGTCGTGTCTCCACAAACCGCTTAAGAGTCCTTACCTTTATTCACTATTCTCACACACCGACAGTAGCATGGACTTTAAAGTGAATTACATAAAAAATTAAAATATACAGGAAAATCAGTTTCAGCACAGAAGCTTAAAAGGCTCTTGCTTAAAAAAGCTGCATTCTCTAATTATGTGATGCAAAGTTTTTACTTTGAATATTTAAATTGCCGGGGAGGGGGTATCAGGACACATACACAATATTGGTTTGGTTAATTCCAAATCAGAAATAAACTGGAAGATTACAAGAAATTAAAACGTCACTTTTCCACCCAACACGTGAATCATTTTTACTATCTAGGATATTACTCCACTAGCATAGAATGGTCCTATAAAATTTAAAGTCTGTGAGTGGTGGTACCCCTTTTTTATTTCATCTCATTTCAATTTCTTCCAAAACGCACTGATGAGTCCGGCTGCACAAACATCAGATTTGCTTATTCATGATCCTGTCTTGTAATAAACAATTTCCACAATCCAAACAAAGCAGTATCAATCCCTTTAGGAAAATATGTCCATAAATGCTAGTTTCTGGGTTTTATTCCACAATAAAGTTCTAAAAAATGTACGATAAACAATTCTGAAATCCTCTATGTTTAATACCAATTATTTCATTTTACTTTAATTAATTGTTTAGTGCTGAGGTTTGAGCCTATGGCCTTTCACATATGACAGGGTGCTTTCCTACTGAGCTACCCACAGTCTTCCGTTCAGTTCTCTTTGTGAGACAGGACCTCAGTACACTATCTTGTCTGTACTTGAACTCACTAAAGCCCAGTGAGGCCCAGCGAATACAATCCTCCTGCCTCCACCACCTGAGTTGCTAAAAATACACGTTGCACCACCAGGCTCAACTGGACTTTAATATATCCTTTAAAAAATTACAATGCTGAATTTAACGTTATAGGACAATTGAAGTCAAATTAGTTATCTCTTCATTATTCTCTGAAACAACGATGTGGAAAATGAAATATGTAATGTTTTTTAAATGATTACGAGGCAAGGATATCTATACTTAATACTGTAGTCCCATACTGCCCAAGCATTTACACTGAAAAACAGCTATTTTTTTTTTCATGAAGCCAATGAAACTAAGTTACAAGAACTTCCTCCCAGTAAAGTTTTCAAAACATCCCATAAAGAGAACCTGTGATGTTTTCTTGGATGGAAGATCAAATGATAGCTCAGCTCCACTTGAAACGGGAGCCTGTGATCATAAACGTACCTTGTCCTTGGGTTACGCCATAAAATTCAGCTGCTATCCTGGCGGCCTCCTTTCGGTTGCCTTTCACGATGTAGAAATGACTAAGGATGGCAAGGCTGATTTTCACAAAAAGTTTAAAACAGAACAGGGAGAGTATCGTAAAATAGACATTGGATAGCTGTTGAGCAAACGGCCGGCTTTCTTCTAATACCGACATTGCTGCAGAAGAATCTGCCGCGGTGCCAAGCCCCAGCCGAGTCTCAACTGTGCCTGGCTCCGTTCCGGGGTACTCTTGAACAGCTGGTCCTCAGGAAAGAAAATATCAACTGGTAATGATGTCTAAGGCTCAAATTATTTATACTGTCCATAAAAGTTCTTCGCCAGCTCCTATTGGTCTGACAATATTCCATGGAAGCAACCAAATCACGTTTCGCAAGCCTCCTGACTTTCCATTCTCCATATAAAATGATACACCCTCTTTCTGTTCTCGGTTGTAGGAGTCAAATATTGAAATAAATAATGCCGATGATTTCCATTTTTGGTATCTAATTATCAAGAACAACTGGAGGACAGAGGTGGGGCTCAGAAACGGCACCTGGCCCCAAGCCTGGAGACCTGAGTTCCACCACTCGGACCCACACAGTGGAAGGAGGGTACCAACTTCCATTTGTTCTCTGCCCTGCATGCCTGTGCTGTGGGGTGTGTGTGTGTGTGTGTGTGTGTGTGTGTATGTGTGTGTGTGTGTATGTGCGCGCGGAAGCGCGCGCACTCACAAAATAAATAACTTAAAAAAGAAGATTGAATATTTTTGTGTATTTTATACACATGGTTTATGTAATAAAGAAGAGAAATTAATTGTTCTAACTCAAGAGTTTAAATCTGTTGGCCATGAACTAAATCATGTGATAGTCCACAGATGGGACCTGAATGAGAACCCATTGAAGTAACTGATTACATTGATTTTGTTATACAATACGGTTTTTTTATATATATATATATTAGGCTATTGCATCATCTATTAATAGACTTACACTGTTAGTGTCACACTTTCAAACACCTATTGGCTGTTTTCTATATGCTGAGCCCAAGACCTAACAGTGCCTGCCCCTAGGGCAGCATAATTTCAGAGGAAAAATGGAATAACTTAGACAAATAAAAGACAAAGAAGCAAAAGGCTTAATTCCGGCAGGAAATGAGAGGGCTTACTGGGGATGGGGGTGATGCACAAAAGAATTACTCAACAAATATAACTGCTTCACAAAAAAAAAAAAACTGCAAAAGCAAACCAATTAAACTTAGTCTCCGGTCTAGTTATGATCAACCTAAAATGTACTTTCAGGACCTATAATCTTGAATAACTAAGATCAATTTGGGAATGAAATATATATGTATATATGAGCAATCTTGTGTATTACCAAATATAAATGAAAGTTTAAAAGAGAAATGGAATCAGTTGTTTAGAAAAATGATGAACACGGACTTTTTTTTCATAAATTCCTTTAATTTTCTTTTGAAGTAATGCTTTCCCTTGCTAACATCTGAGCATTTGAGTAAAAAAAGACACTAATACAAAATATTGTGATATACGTTTATGTCACCAGATTTAGGATCTGCTCATCTTAAATTATGTCTTAATTCGGCTAGGTTTCAAGGTAACAAAACAAACAACAGCGGCTCTGACAGAAGCAAGGATCCTATCTGTGACTGAGAAACGTGACTTGTCATTTTAATGTGTATCTTATCAAGATAGTCTTGACTCTCACCAAATATCCCTAAGAGAACGGAGACATGGCGGAAGAATACACGTGCCATTTGGGACACAGCACACACGACTGTTGAATCACTGAAGACAGAGTGATCACACGGTCCTCTCTACCCCTGATGTGGAAACTGTGTCAAGAGAGTGAACTCACCGGAATAATGTTCTAGTGAGTCTTCTGTCTGCCATGGCAAGGTCCAAGCACACGCTGGAGAGGAGCCTGTGAACAGCTGGCCCATCACAATGCTCTGAGTCACGGCGTGACTTCCCCTCCAGTGCTCTGGAATCAGAAATAAACCTGCCTTAGTCACATCTAAGTGCCTGTCTAAGGTTTCGGCCCTTTCTCTTACCAGTAAATGGTCTTATAAATAATCCCGCACAGCAGCTACTCGGTAGGCTAGATTCCTGGGGGCTAAGAAACACTTCCATTCACTACGGCTGAAGTCATCAGCCCAGCAAGCTTCAATCCCTCCCGCTTTACTAATAGAAAAACATTACCACACAATACTTAAAATTTTATTTGCAGATGTCAAATTTTGTTTTTTTATAAATTCATTCATTCTCACCTCTTTGTTTTATATAGGTAACACCCACTCATAATAAAATTTGCCAACTGCTAGCTTCTTAATTCAAAGGCCTAATAAAATAACGTAGTAAATGAATTGAGAAATACAAATTAGATGCTAATTTCCATATAAAAGACTCCAAAACATCACCTTAAATGATTGGCAATATATAAAAGACTTTGAAAAGTATTGGTGCACCTATTTTCTTGGCTTAGAATTTTCTTTCTCTTTTTTCTGGATCAGAGAAAATTTTTGCTTTTTCTTCTTTTAATATATTTCTTGAGAATTTAATACATGAGTATTTCACATCATTTCCACCTCACCTTCTCCCACGCATTTAAGTCTAGAGAAGGGGATGGCAGGATACAGGCACTATAGAGTGGAAAATAGAAAAACCTGGAGGGGCTCTATCTGGAGAGAATAAAGAAGAGAAATACAGAGAGTGAGAGAAGAAGAATTGATAAAGTACAAAAAGGACATTTAAAAAGTCATAGGGAATATTACTTTATTTACTTAAAAATGCACACACACACACACACACACACACACACACACACTAAGTGAAATTAGTCAATTGTGGTCATAATGCACATTGTCTCTCACAAGGATCACAGACTACTAGTATCCTGCAGGGGAAACCTCAAAGTAGTCCAAGAGATCTCTAAAAACAATAAAGAATGTGGCCATCGCCCTTGGTTGCCTCCAAGAACATAAAGGTAACACCCAGTTGTTGAAGACATCATGCACTTTCGACACAAGACTTGGAAGATTTGAACTGGATGTGACCTGGAAGCCTCCTCCCTATGGACCAGCTTCTATAGAATTCAAAGTTGCTATGCAAACTCCCAATGGAGCAAAGACAACAACAATCCTACCCATTGCACAGCCTATAAGCACACAATGACGAACTTGACAAGACACAAGGGCGCAGTAGTGGCACTTAGGTCTTAGGAGTAAGCAGAAGCAGAAGTCTGATTGGAACTAAGGCCTACTCAACAGGAGAGAACTCATACCCCATTATTCTTTGTTATCCTAGCTGTCTCCCTGTGGTTGGTAAGGTCATGGATCCTAGAGAGAACTTACTGTGGCTACCTTCCCAAATCAGTGTAATTACCTACTGAATTCCAAATACTCATTCATTTAGCCACAGAAGAGTGTAGTGTTCATCTTTCATCAAAAGAGCTTCTTTTTTTTTTCTTTTCTTTTTTTTTTTTTTTTTTTTTTTTTGTCGCAGACCGAGGCCATCACATAAATCCCCAACTGGTCAAAATGTAGAGAATCAGTGACTGTGGGATGCCAAACTTAAAAAAGTTCACCGACAACAAAATCCCATCACCTAAGGCTCAAGGAAGACTGAAGGAGAAGGAGAGGGGGCAGAAAGACTCTAAAAGCCTGCTGGCTTCTGTACATAACCGGGGAGCTGCACTCATGAAATCTTAATAAAGTGACCAACTAAACAAGATCTGTGTAATAACACCAGCTGACATTCCTTTGTGGATGGTGAAATTGCATAAGGCCCCACCCCTTAGATGAAGAGCTACAGGTAATTAATGGCCCCTAGAGATGGGGAATCTACCTTCTCCAAGGACGAATCCTCTGATGGTATGCAATCCTAAGTGATCAGCCCTAACCACGTACACATGGGAAGAGCAACACTAAATGGGTGCAGAAGGCCATATTTATACAGACGCATGGAAACATACACCTATGCAATAGCAATGATTTCAGAAATCATGAATTTGACAGTGATTGGGAGTACAGGAGGAGTTGGAGGGGAAAGAATGAAGTGGAAATGATGTAAACGCTGTTACTCCTCTGTGAAATTCTCAAAAATTGGGAAATAAATTAAAATAATTTGACATATATAATTGGAGCTTTCAGAATGACAAAGTCTTTTCGGTCTATTTTGTATTTTCACCATATTTATGTCTCTATACCCTCTCTTTCTTCTTCCTTCCCCCTTGCCATAAGACACAGAGTCTATAAGTGAGAGAAAACGTACAGTATTTGTCTTCTGAATGGGCTTATTTTGTTTAAGGTGGTAATGAGTTCATTTATATGCATTCAGTAGTTTTTAAGTAAACTATGTCCCTTTATTTTCTGGCAGAAATATACAAACTCTTAATGAAACTACAATAATGAGTTCCAAAATAAAAGAAAAATGACAAGAACATATTTCAAACACTGAGGAGCTGCTAATGCCCATCTCCACTAATTCCAGGCATCTTTCCAGTCCTAGAACAGGGAGACTGGGAAGAACTCATATACAGTGAGTGTAAAATGTTGTTTGCCCATGGCTGAAACAAAATGAAAGAAAAAGAAATCACACAAGTTCTTACTGGGGATATTGTACATCACTGTTAAAACTTAAAACACCATTGGAATTTAAGCTTTTTCTTTTAGTTTTGTGAAACTTCATGAGAAAAAATAAATATATTGAAGACAGATATTTAGAGTGGAGAAGAGTTTGAAATAAAAACAGAAATGTCTATACATGAGTTTCTTAAGGGAAATTAGTAAACGAATTTTGCCTTAACTTCATTTAGTAAATCCTGCTTATCCTTACCCCAAAGCTGCTCTCATAAGAAAGGCATTTTATAAAAGTAAGCCAAGGCACTCGGTCACAGTTCTTTATAATGTCATAGACATTATGATGTGATGTCTCTGTCATAAACATTTTCAAAGAAGAGTTCTAGATGCCAATGTACTAGGTTTCTATTACTTATTCTGTTTGAATTTACTAAATTCTTTATGAAAAACAGATTTCTTTTCATACAATATATTCTGACTACAGTTTTTCCTCCCCTAGGTCCTTGGAGATCCTCCAATCTTCTCTCTCATTAATTATTGATAAAAGATATATTCTAATTAGGATTAAAATTCACACAATACATGTTACTTAAATTTTTTGGTGGGTAAAGTTTAGGTGAGAACCATTCTATTTTGTGTGACTGTAGGACTTGGAGTAAATGTGTTGAGTTTCTAGATCAATTACCAGAATAATGGACAAAACCAATAATCTGTTATTGTTATGATAGTCAACACTAATATTTTATCACAAGATTATTATTAATTTAGGTAGCATCCATGCCCCCAGGTGAAAGTCATTGGTTTTCACTGAAACACAGAATAGTTTGATATAACTCAAACTATTTGATATATTTATATATATTTGATATATATCAAACTCACAAATTTGATTAGGTCTAACTAGAATTTGCCTTATGTTAATCATGCTCTCATCTTTTATGTGTGGTCCTAAAAATATGACTAAAAGTTAGCAGTCATGCATATTTAAAAGTTTAAAATATATGATTTATTTATTATAAATATATATTAATAAAGAGTCTATGCTAAATTCTTTTCTAGATATTTTATTTTGTTTTTCAATTTCTTATTTGGCTTACAAGTCCAGAATTTCTCTAAGGGATAATATCTCACTCAACTTGGTTCCCTTCACTTAATTTTCTGGCTCAAGCGAAGGACATTTGTCTAAATAAGGTCAATAAAAGATGTTTTTGAGAATATTTCTGAGGAATTAAAATTTTTCTTCTACTCTGCAGGAGAAGCAAAGTTGCTAGTAGCTCTTCAATAGTAAAGAAAGGTTTGTGTGTGGGTCATGCCAATAAAAAGGGAATCTGGAGTCAATATTTATATTAGAAAGCATCAGATTATCTTCATTGGGGAATCTTGGTATAGGTTTAACTAAAACAGTAGTAATTTGGTATAAGTTTAACTAAAAACAAAAGTAATTTGAATTTAATAGTAACATAAAATATTAAAGTCCTCCTTGCTAATTAAATGAGATTTGAAATTGGGTTGTTTAAACTTGTAAACAAAATGTCCTGATATAGTTACTGGAGTCTTTATGAAGAAGCTATGAAGTTGGGAGGAAGAAGCTTAAAAAAGCGGGGGAGTAATTTGCAAGCTACATATCCGGAAGTGGGAACACAAGGATCCCATGGCCATGGCCATGCCTCTGAGGCTAGTGTTCACACGTCAGCACTGAGACAGTCACTATGTAGTTTACCCACCTGCCTCTGCTTCCCACACCTGGCGACCAGAGTGTGCATCTGTGCCATGTGTGCACTATAAATAGCCTTGAGCTAAATACGTGTGTGCTTCAGTGGCCTGAATCCAACGGGCTTCACCGAACCTTCTGCGATTAAGAATTTGTTCTAATTGTCACACTTTGGCTAATTACATATTTAAGGCATTACAGATAGGGGAACCTTCCCATACCCCATGTGTTGAAGATCAAAGAATGGAACTACATGAGAAGCGTCATGATTAGGTCATCCTCCAAGTATGCTAGGCCTGGAAATAGGATCAGAATTCTTCGACAGTTACATAAATTAATAATTATTTTTTTTCCTGAAATAAAATACATAGTTAACCTAGAATGTGACCAACTGGCTATTAAAATTGGTATATTTGGATGCTTCTGATTAGCACGCTGTTGTAGTTTCCTTGGCAACAGAAAGATTGCCTGGAGTGCTTTTAAGTTTAATTTTAGCATCAATTATGAATTTGGAGGGGGGAATCGTAGCTTAAACACATTGTCCTCAGATTTATTGCTTGTTACTTAGTAAGAGCAGCACTAGTGTATGTCACCTTCCCACTGTGATTTGCAGTCAGCTCTGTATTCTTTGCACGCTCCTTCCTCATTCCAGTGTGACAGAAAATGAGCAAAACCAAGTCTGTGGAGGCTCAG